GAGTATGTTGAATTCATTGACCTGATTTTTTTCTTGCTATCTCAGTCGCTCACTCTCTGTTTCGTGTCTCATTGAAATAACTACCAGAGTAGTTTCTCAAAGCCTGTCATCAGTCTGTGCTCCCAAGCACTGACATTTCAACCTGAGTATGTTGAATTCATTGACCTGATTTTTTTTTTTTTTTTACAGTTGTACTTTCTTTATATGACTGTTTTTACAAGAGACCCACACCATGGAATGCCCCAATCACCTCTCTTTCCACAACAGAGGCCTTCATGGCCTGAGTAAGAACTAAAAGATAGAGTTTAAATGGTGCTTATATAACTAATGATGCAATTGGTTGCTTAGTATGGAAATTTTAAGGCATCTGGAATCCTGGCTCCCACCTAAAACCACAAATGCTGAAATGGAACACTGAAATTTGAAACTGTGTCTGCACGATACGCAGTCACCGCATTGGCTGGATACAGCTCAAAGAAGATTTCTTTCCTCCAGTGTGGACCAAGACGCAGCGTGTGCTTTTCAGCTCATGCACTGTGATTTTCCCAATCATAAAGACAAATTGGAGGGGTTGGCTGGCCCTGTCGATGACACAATGACTCCCTCACTTAACTTCTACACCATAGTGCCGTCTGTAACCACTAACCACACAAACGACCTGAGGCAATGTCGTGGTTTGGGCCAGACAGGCCACTGAAACAAACGACAGATGCTCTCCCCAACCTCTCCCTTCAGGGAGAGAAGGATGAGAAAGAAGGAGTCTTACAAGTTTAAAAGAAATTAAACTACTTTAATGAAATATTAATCATAATATAATAAAAAGAAAATATAAGAATATCAAAAAAGAAAATAATGAAATATATACAATATATACAAAACCAGTGTAGAGCTCCCAGGATGACAATCACGTCACAGGCAGGCACTGGGAAAGTCCCAGACTGGACTCAGTGATGGACGAGACCTGAACTCAGGATCTGGATCCAGGAACACACCGATTGGGATGAAAGGTAGATGAACAGGCAGAATCCACCTTCAGAAGCTGGCCACTGAAGGAAAGAGACTGACCCCTTTGATCCCTCAGCTTTTATACTGAGCATGATGCAGATGGGATGAAATACCCTGTTGGTCAGTTTTGGGTCACCTGTCCTGTTTGCTCCTCCCCGTATGTGCGACCGTGCTACATATTTCTGCTCTTAACCCTCTAACAGAGAAAATAACAAAGTTAACTGGCCTTGGGTATTATAGCAATAATTATAAGCAAGAGCATCTTTGCATACCATTCCTTGGTATGAATTATAAACATCAGGTCTTACCACTTTGGAAGCGGGCTACTGTCTGAAAAATACACCGTTAATTTCAGAGAGCTCAGTTAGTTAGAAGAGACTTAGCTGAAAAGTAAAATTACTGAACAGAAAGTTAGTTCTCTTTCACCTCAAACCAGGACATTCCACCTCTTATTCCATACCATTTGCATCATGCTCAGATCACTATTACTTTTTTGATCTTCAGATATATACACATACATGTCAATACACACAGACCACTATTTTATGATTTATCTTTATACACAAAAGTTCGTTAAGTTCATTTAGTTCATCATTGCAGAATTTCATCTATCATAGCAGACTCTCAGGGCAGGAAAGTTGGTATGAAATTCATCGTTGTTTGTGCCCACAGGTAGAATGTCCACCTAGAAAAGTTTGCTGGACACCACTTGATGAAGCTAGCTTAAGTTTCATCACCACTATGTTATCCTGAAAAAAAAATTATTGAGCACTGTTAGTATTATGTAGCAATTAACATCATCCAGCTCAAAATTGAGTATTCTCGCACATGGTTACATTTCCTTGAGGCACACATTGAACTTCCCCATTCTTCAGCAGCACCCACCAAGTACATCAGGTCCTTGAGCAAAAACAGTCCTGCAAATGGGTTTGCCTTTGCCTGAAGTAGGAAAAACCCAAACAGTTTTCCCTAACATATTCCTTTCATGCGCCACAGGGACTTTATCCCCTTCTACAATAGGTAAAATGTCTGATTGAGCAGGATCAGCTCGACTGATGGATCCCCTGGTGTTAACTAATCAGGTAGCTTGTGCTAAATGCTTGTCCCAGTTTTTAAAAGTTCTACCTAGAAAGCAATAGAGGGTGTTTTTTAACAGTCCATTGTGTCATTCAATTTTCCCAGAAGCCGGTGTATGATAGGGAATATGATATATCCACTCAATGCCATATTCTCTGGCCCAATTACTTGTAAGACTGTTTATAAAATGAATCCCATTGTCTGACTCAATTCTTTCTGGAGTGCCATGATGCCACAAGACTTGCTTTTCAAGGCCCAGGATAATATTCCAGGCAGTGGCATGGGGCACAGCATAGGTTTCCAACCATCCAGTGCTTGCTTCCACCTTTGTAAGCATGTAGCGCTTATGCTGGGGTGTTTGACAGAGTGCGATATAGTCAATTTTCCAAGACTCCCCACACTTATATTTCAGTCATTTTCCCCCTATCACCAAGGTTTTAACCGTTTAGCTTTCTTGATTTTGGCACGTTTCACAATCATGGATAAGCTGTGCAATAGCGTCCCTAGTTAAATCCACCCATTTATATGTTGCATCCCTTCCTTGATGACCTGAAGAGTCATCTAAAAATAGTTCACCTTTATATTCCCAGTCCAAGTCTGTCAGGAAAATCTTAGCAGCCTGATCCACTTGCTGATTGTTTTGATATTCCGCAGTGGCCCAACTCACGGGTACATGAACATCTACATGATGTACCTTTATGACTAGGTTCCCTAGCCGGCCAGCAATATCTAGCCACAATTCAGCAGCTCAGATGGGTTTATCTCTGCACTGTCAGTTGCTCTGCTTCCACTGCTTTAACCACCCCCACAGAGCATTTGCCACCATCCATGAGTCAGTACAGAGATAGAGTATTGGCCACTTCTCTCATTCAGAAATGTCTAAAGCCAGCTGGATGGCTTTTACCTCTGTAAATTGACTCAATTTGCCTTCTCCTTCAGCCACTTCTGCAACTCATTGTGTAGGACTCCACGCAGCAGCTTTCCACCTTTGATGTTTTCCTACAATACAACAAGGTCCATCAGTGAATAGAGCATACTGTTTCTCATTATCTGAGAGTTCATTATATGGTGGGGCTTCTTTAGCATGTTACCACCTCTTCTAGTGGCATTCTGAAGTCTGCCTTTGGGCTAGTTTGTGATCAGTTCTATGATTCCCAGACAACTGGGGTTTCTTATTCAAGCCCATTGTGTGATTAATGCAACCCATTTACTTCAGGTAGCATGGGTGGCATGACGAGTAGAAAGAACCTTATCCTTTAACATCCAGCCCAGTACTGGTAATCAAGGTGTCAAGAGGAGTTGTGCTTCAGTACCAATTACCCCAATTACCTCTGAGGCAGCTCTAACTCCTCCATATGCTGCCAGTATTTCTTTTCTGGTTGGAGTATAGTTGGCCTCAGATCCTCTGTATCCCCAGCTCCCAAATCCTAGGGGTCAACATCAAGTCTCCCCTGGTGTTTTCTGCCAGATGCTCCAGGTAGGGCCAGTCTCCCCGGCTGAAGCATAGAGCACATTTTTAATGTCCTGTTCTGTTCAGACTGGTCCAAGGGCTACTGCATGCACAATCTCTTGTTTAATTTGTCCAAAGGCTTGTTGTTGCTCAGGGCCCCATGTAAAATCATTTTTCTTTCAAGTCACTTCATGGAGAGGTCTCACAATCTGACTATAACTCACAATGCCTAAGAAGGTTTGTGTTTCCTTTTTGTTAGTTGGTGGGGACATAGCTGTTATTTTGTAAATCACATCCATTGGAATCTGGATCCATCCTTCCACTTAATTCCTAAAAACTGGACCTCTTGTGCAGGCCCTTTAACCTTACCTCTTTTTACTGCAAAACCTGCTTTCAGAAGAATTTTCATTATTTTTTTACCTTTCTTGAAAACTTCTGCTGTGTTACCCCATACAATGGTGTCATCAATGTATTATAGCTGTTCTGGAGCTTCACCCTGTTCCAGTGCAGTCTGGATCAGTCCATGGCAAATAGTAGGGCTGTGTTTCCATCCCTAGGGCAGTTATTCCAGGTGTACTGGACACCTTTCCAGGTGAAAGCAAACTTTGACCTGCACTCTGCTGATAAAGGAATAGAGAGAAATACATTAGCAATGTTAATTGTAGTATACCATTTGGCTGCCTTTGACTCCAGTTGATACTGAAGTTCTAGTACATCCCGCACGGCAGCACTTAGTGTTAGTGTGACTTCATTCAGGCCATGACAGTCTACTGTTAATCTCCAGTCTCCATCAGACTTTCACATTGGCCATATAGGGCTGTTAAAGGGTGAGTGAGTCTTGCTGATCACTCCTTGGCTCTCTAGCCGATGGATCAGGTTATGGATGGGAATCAGGGAGTCTCGGTTGGTGCAATACTGTCGTCAATTCACCACTGTAGTAGCAATTGGCACCTGCTATTCTTTAACCTTCAGCAGTCCCACAACAGAAGGGTCATCTGAAAGACCGGGTGAGGTAGACAGCTGTATAACATCCTCAGTCTTTACAGCTGCTATACCAAAAGCCCCACCGATACCCTTTTGGGTCTTTAAAATATCCTCTCTTGAGATAGTCTATGCCAAGGATGCATGGAGCATCTGGGCCAGTCACAATGGGGTACTTCTCCCATTTATTCCCAGTTAGGCTCACTTTGGCCTCTAATACAGTCAGCACTTGAGATCCCCCTGTCATTCCAGAAATAGTGACAGATTCTGCCTCTTTATAATTCAATGGCAATAAGGTACATTTTACCAGTGTCCACCAGGGCTTTATACTTTTGTGGCTCTAACGTGCCAGGCCATTGAATCCATACAGTCCAATAAACTCATTTGTCCCTGTCCTCCTCCTGGCTGGAGGCAGGGCCCCTCTAATATTGAGCATAGTATCCACAATTAACAGATGAGTTTCTACCTGGACCGGAGAATCACTCACCTTAGAGCAGCGCAGCCATCCTCCTGGAAAAATTCTTTCTTCTGTCTGTTTTATCTTGCAATTCATGTACTTGTGCCTGTAGGGCCAAGGTAAGTTTCCTATCCAATTTCCTTATGTTCTCTCCACAGTCACAGACACAAAACCACAGGATATCTCATAGTGTGTTCTATTTCTCTTGAGCCGGTCTTGTAGGAGGGCATCTTCTAATGGCTGCAACATGGGTCCATGCAAGGGATGACAGTGATCTTTCCTCCATCCTGGACAGGTTATCAAACAGTTTATCAAACAGTTTCTCATTTTTCTTAGCCATTTTCTTAGCCATTTTCTTAGTCATTTTCTTAGTTTTCTCAACCAGTTTTTCCATGGCTGCCACCGTGAGGGGATAAGAGAGACTGCCTTCATATTGTTGTACTCTGTCAGCCACTTCACTTACAGTTGGTATGTCGGCATCAGATCATCCTCAAGTCATTGTTGACAATGTGTGGGAATATCTTGATGGTGCACTCTGCACAAACTTCTACAACGTAGGTGGTTTGCATGACATTTCATCTGGGTCTACATTCACTCACCAGTCACCATAAATCACCTCTCGCACGGCCAATTCTCTCATGTACTTAAGACCTTTCTCCATGGCGGTCCATTTGCTTGGACGGCATTTGATATCATCCTTAAGGGGATACCTGTCCTTTACAGCGGACATCAGCCGCCTCCAGAGACTGAGAGTTTTTGACTTTCTCCCAATTGCTTTATCGATACCTCCATCTCTGACCAGGTTTCCCAACTGCCTAGCTTCTCCTTTCTCATGTTTTGCAAGTTCTTCATAGAGAAGGATTTAATGATTACTGCTGTGTCTGATTCCTCCTCCTGTGTTGATGCTGCCCGAGAAGGACTCTCTCCCCGATCTGCTTTAGAAGGACCCTCTCCTACATGTTTGTCAGAAGAATTCTCTCCCATGCTATCTGGCTTGAGCTGGTCTTTGTTGTAAGGGGCAGGGGAACCAGCTGGCCTCCATTTCTGCTTCCTGGTAACTGGGGCAACTTGTTCTAATGGACTCTGAGTAGTAGTGGTACTTGTTGTCAGAGCAGGTGGGGTAGCAACGGTGCGCGTTGTCGAGGCTGGAATAGTGGCAGTGGTCACTGTCGAGCATGGAGTACCTTGTGCCGGTATGGGTGGGGCCAGTACAGGCTGCTGAGTGGCTCATGGGATTTGGGGAGCAGCAGTGCATGCCGTACACCCACTTGTGCACCAAAATGTAATATAAAACCACCCCTGTAACACATTCAGGATAATCAACAGTAAAATCACAATGTTGGGAAAGTAATAGTAATTTCCAAAATCCCCTAGCTCTGCTGGTGTCAATTTGGCATCGAAGGAAAAAGCAAACTTTTCCAAGGTAAAATCGAAAGTGTAGTTAGCAATAGAATCCATTACGTCATGCCCGAGATACGCAGTGAAAACCGTTATCCAATTTATCATATTATAGATCTGCATCAAAAACCACAGCAGGATAGCACATTTAAACCACTGTATACAAACACAAAGAAGAAATAAACTGTACAACACATTTCAACAGGTTAAGCAGAATTGCATCAACTAACTATAAACAAAGCTCTCTAAAGTCGTGACACAACATTTCACTTAAGAATAACATGATGTGAGCTGTCTGGTTTAATTTCCAACCCCTTAAGACTCTTGTAGAAAAAATCCGATACTCTCTCAACTGAGCAAGCTGGAATCTGAATTATTCAGGCAATCCGTCAGAGTTCTGGTCAAGTCCCGGTCAGGCCCCACTTTGGGCGCCAATAAAGCTGTCCTGGTTTGGGCCAGACAGGCCACTGAAACAAACGACAGATGCTCTCCCCAGCCTCTCCCTTCAGGGAGAGAAGGATGAGAAAGAAGGAGTCTTACAAGTTTAAAAGAAATCAAACTACTTTAATGAAATATTAATTATAAAATAATAAAAAGAAACGATAAGAATATCAAAAAAAGAAAATAATGAAATATATACAATATATACAAAACCAGTGTAGAGCTCCCAGGATGACAATCACGTCACAGGCAGGCACTGGGAAAGTCCCAGACTGGACTCAGTGATGGATGAGACCTGAACTCAGGATCAAAGGCAAACAGACAGAGTCCTCCTTGGACACCGGCCACTGAAGGAAAGAGACTGACCCCTTTGATCCCTCAGCTTTTATACTAAGCGTGATGCAGATGGGATGAAATACCCTGTTGGTCAGTTTTGGGTCACCTGTCCTGTTTGCTCCTCCCCGTATGTGCGACCGTGCTACATATTTCTGCTCTTAACCCTCTAACAGAGAAAATAACAAAGTTAACTGGCCTTGGGTATTATAGCAATAATTATAAGCAAGAGCATCTTTGCATACCATTCCTTGGTATGAATTATAAACATCAGGTCTTACCACTTTGGAAGCGGGCTACTGTCTGAAAAATACACCGTTAATTTCAGAGAGCTCAGTTAGTTAGAAGAGACTTAGCTGAAAAGTAAAATTACTGAACAGAAAGTTAGTTCTCTTTCACCTCAAACCAGGACAGGGAACCCAGAGAAAAACTCCCACAAAAGATTGCTCTGCAAGAAGGAAAGTCTCTTTCCAAGTCTTCTGCACAGTGGGAATTACTGCTCTTAAACAGTCACCACTGAGATGCCACGTGTGCAGACTGCTATAGGAAGGAACTTGTGTCCTAATCACAGATCCTCTCTATGGTCAGATGTGGATCAGTGAAATAATCAAGCACATGTTTAAATCATTCTGCTTTTAATAAGCTTTAAATGTACCGTGCACTTAACTCTTTCTGCAGTCAACAGAAGCTAAGCACCTTGGTCCTTGAGCAAGGTACCTAGAGACTTGAGCATACCCATGAATTTCCATGTGGATCAGGAGGGAAAGTAAACGCACATCGGGCTGCTGTGCCAAGCAAATGACAGGGGAAGCAACTGCTGACACAGGATCCTCTGTTGTGAAGAGCTAACACCTCTCTGAATTCATTTTGCAGCAGATATAGTTCACCTTTCACTTCCCTTCTAAGAGTGGGCAACTGCTGCTATCATTCAATCTCTAGGTCTTCCTGCAAGCAGTGACTTGCAGGTGGTTAGTGCTTTGATAAAATTGATTTTTCCACTGTGATTATAGAGGTCATAAAAAAAAGAAAAAGAAAAAAAAGGAAAGTATTACTGATCATTTCCTCACATAAGCAGCAACTGCTGTTCATTAATCCTGTGCTGCACAGAGAATGCAAGCGTGTCCTTACATCCCATTCCTGAGAGATGATGGGTTTGTTTCCATAAATATAACCTAGCCCACACTAAGACAAGCACCTGATATCACTGTGGGACAGGTATGTTGGAGAACCATGCAGCCCAGCTAAATCTACTGAAATGATACTACAGGGCAACAGGCTGGATAGTGAAGTAGAGCAGAAGATTAGCCCAGATATTCAGGTACAACTCTCCTGCTGGGTGGCACCGGTAGCACAAAGGGCCAGATTCAGTTATGTAGGCATTCTGGCACTGATTTCAGCCAGAAAACTGGAAACTTGGTTATGGTTCTTGTCCTTGGCAAGGAAACTTCTTCATTTGCAGCAAGTCCAAGACTTTTTAACAGGCCTCTCAGTATATCTTCCTTACCCAGTGCAAATCTATGCCAGATAGCTCAGGTGCCATATACACTACAGCCCCCAAAGGTTCCATTTATCTTGCTCCAAGTTAGACGGTTTTTACTGCCCACCCAGGCACCTTAGTCATCTCTTCATCATATTGAGTTGTGCAGTACAAACATGTTCTGAAGGGAAAAGGCATGGGCATCTCTGAGGACACGCTTGAGAAAGCTGGCAACTGATAGCTGCCCATTCTCCCTTGTCCCCAGGATGATTTGATTGCCTCCACTGCCTAGATTTGGGAAAGTGTGCTACTATTAACCACCTCCTGCTTCACCAGAGCTTCCTCCCACTTTGTTGACCAGGGTTGGCAGACTTCTAAATTTGCACTGGTCCATCACTCATCCCCAGTGGGCTCTCACTTCCCTGAAGCTTTAGCGCCTGTCCCAGGAATCACCACCTAGACACTAGCACACTGTGTTCAGAGTCAGGATCACTCCTCAGCTGGGAATGTTCGGGCCAGCAGTGTTGTTCTTTCATTACTTCACAAGCACAATATTTCTTTTCCTATTTCAAAACTCAGTTTCTACCAAAATACCTCTGACTCTTGCTAGCTGAAATGAGACCTGGCCCAGCCAGTCATTTCCTTCTACCCGTTAGCAGTCCTGCTGCTCCTCTGCACTTTTTGTCTGTTCATCTCAAGCGTATCTGCTCTCTGTTCAGTCCTGAGTGCCAGAATTAAATGCCCTAACTCTCAAGGCACACATCACAAGAATTATTCAGCAGACTACCTTTTAATATCAAATACAGAAAACCAGAGTCCAAAACTCTGTAATCAGTTTCTCAAAGCAATGTTGGTTACATGAAGTTTGTGTAATCCATTCCTTGACTTCTCAAGGTTATAGCACAGCGAAGGCACAGGGTCAACATGCCCACTGCTAGCCACTGCATTTCATTTAGCATTGCACCACTGACTCTTCAGCCCCTTATGAATGAGGGGAGGCCTCAGTCTAGCAAGGCACTTAGACCTCTGCCTAATTCTAAATGTGTGAATAGTCCCAAAGGTGTTTTTCAGTCAGGTTTCAAGAGACAGTTGAGCCAACACGTCAGCTGCCGCAGGCAGTGGTCCCCTACCTTCTCCTGGGCTCTGGAACTCATCTTTCTCTCCAGATGGCTGGCTTAGCTTGCCCAAACAAAAAACTGTTCATTATCTTTCTTTGCCAGCTTGGTTTTGGTTTGTTTCTCCCCCCCCCGCCCCCCCCCAAGTAAGGAATTTCCCCTGTGTTTAGCAAACAGAACTGACTCCTTGAGGAATCAGGCAAGAGCCAGCAGGAAGATCCCAGACCTTGATCCTGAATAGACTTGGGTCTGCCTTGCCTCCCCTCCTTGTGCGTGTGGAAAAAGGGTTCTCGTTGGTGGGAATTGTCCTTCCCACCTTCAACCAAGAGGGAAGTTCTCACCCACACAGGTGAGGTTTTTCCACAGTAACCCACGGTGACACTTGAAGTCTGGAAAGGACCCCTTAAGCCTCACCCTGGCTTGATTCTGGGGAGGCAATGACACCTTATGTCCTGGCAGGACACAATCTGTTGTGTGTGCTGGTCGCCTCTGGGCTACCCTGCTGTGGCTAGCACACAGATCAGCCCATCCTTCAGGAGCCCCTTTCTTCCTGTCCAACAGGCAGAGGTTTCTGTTACGTTGACCTCAAGACTGCCAAGCCAGGTCTCTGAGGATATCTTCATCACCCAGCTTCACAGCAGGGCATGCTCCTCATGTCCAAGTTCACACAGCAACCTCCTGTAAGACAGGGTGTGTCCAGAGGGTTGTTTTCCTCTTTCCATTTTGACATATTTAGGTGTTACACGACCTAACAAGTCTAATCCAAACAAGTACAGCAAAAGAGCTTGCACTGTGATGCCTCACTTAATGGTATTACTGAAGAGTAACTATGAAAGAAGCTACACTGTAATTACTAGATTCACGTCCTGTGTTACTGAGATGCTACTGCCTGATAAC